TGGCCAGCTTGATTATCATTGAATGGTTTTGCAGCTTCAAAGCCTGGCTGCTTCCTGCCTAGGGGAAGTCCTTTGTTGAGAGGTGTTAGCTGGCCCTGATTGTTTCCTGTCTGGAATTCCCTGTTTTCTGAGTGTTGTTATTTGTTTACTGTCCTGAATCTAGAGGTTTTTTTAATACTGATTTTAATGACTTCTCTGTGTAGTCTGACATGGTCCAGTATTTTTGTGTACTCAGATATAGTGCTGTGCTCAGGTTTGTTCTTCAAGTGCTCTGCTATGGCTGACTTCTCTGGTTGGATTAGTCTGCAGTGCATTTCATGTTCCTTGATTGTTCTTTGAGCAATGCTACGTTTGGGTGTCCCTATGTAGACTTGTTCACAGCTGCACGATATACAGTAGACTCCTGCAGAGGTGAGAGGATCCCCCTTGTCCTTTGCTGAACATAATATTTGTTGGATTTTGTTCGTGGATCTGTAGATAGTTTGTAGGTTGTGTTCCTTCATCAGTTTCCCTAAATGTAGCCAATGGTCCCTTGATGTATGGTAAGAACACTTTTCCTCTGGGTGGTTCTTTGTTTTGACTCTCATGTCTTGGTCTTGCAGCTCTTTTGATGCCTGAGGTGGAGTCTCCAATGGCCTGTAAAGCCCAGTTTAGGTGGATCAGTTCGCAATGGAGGAGGTGGGGTTTGCAGATTCTTTTTGCACGGTCTGCCAGGGCTTTAATTGTGTGTGTGTGTGTGTTTAACTTGGGTGAAAGAGCAACACTCAAAAAAGAGGGGAATTCCAGACAGGAAACAATCGGCGCCAGCTAACACCTCTCAACAAAGAATTCCCCAGGCAGGACCATTCAATGCTAATCAGGGTGGCCAGTGGCAACATTTACATTTGCCTCAAACAGACAAGAGTTCTTTCTCCCACCCTGGACATTATTCCACAGATATATGAACCCCACTTGCTTAGTTTCCAACACACCTCTCAACCTATGAGGATGCCTGCCATAGATGTGGGCAAAACATCAGGAGAGAATGCTTCTGGAACATGGCCAGACAGCCCAGAAAACTCACAGAAGCTCAATAATTCTATTCCTTACCCGCCTCTCCTTGTAGCCCAAGGTGGGTTACAGCACAATTAAAACATGTAAACCTTATAAAAAATCCCACAAATATACATATTAAAATGTATTTCTATAAAACATATCTATGAAGATGTATTTCTGTAAAACACAGAACAGAGATTAATAAACACAAGACATGAGTTTCAAAGGTGTTTTAGAGCAGGAATTTAGGGGTATTTGCCAGGAGGCAGAGACCAATTAGACTCATCAAAGAGTTCTTTTTCCCTGGCGAGACAGAGAAGCACCCAGTCCCTATTTTTCCCAATAAAAGGTCTCACCAAGTTGAAGGAAGTGCCACCGAGGTTTATTAGCGATTCAGCTGAAAAGGATGCAGAGCAGCAATCATTCGCCAAGTAGAGCATGTGGTTACAGAAGTAAAGGCCATTTTTATACAGAGTTGTGAGTTTCAAAATTCCCACTCCCCGCTCCCGCCCAGCTCGAAGGGGATTGGTTGATGCACAAACAGCTGGGAGGAGGCTTGGCCATCCCCCATGCATCAGGGCCAATCACAGGGCTTTTGCGGGGCACCAGAGCCTATCAGGTGGCTCCTGCTGCCTTGACGCTCTAGCGAATCAGAAGGGAGGGAGGTGGGATGAAGGGAGACAATGCATTCTGGATTGGATTATGACAAGATTGTCCCTGAGGCTTAGCGAGATACAGGTGGGGGGTCTGCCAGCCAAGCCATTCTATTGTGTTCATGAGTGAAGGCAATAAACATATGTTAAAGAAATCCGAGTTTTCCTGTCACCATTAGATAAGACACAAAGGGGAAGACTTGGGTGGAAGTTCTTTGTGGAGAAGTTTGAAAGAAAAATAGCTTGGAGGAAAAGAGGACTTTCCTAAGGTCATATTCCCCCCATTGTTATATGATTAAAAAGTCTGCCAAACAGAAATCCTAATGCTGGCCCAACTCCGAAGACAAAAGGATTTCCTTTACTATTGTCCATGCAAAGAATGTCCAAAGATAAGGGTCTTTTCCTGATCACTGATTGCTTTTCCAGAGGCAGGGCAGCTTCCTTGTAGATTTCCCCCAAGGAGAGGGGAAGGGGGCAAAGGGTTCAGGGCAAGGTCAGAAAACATGAGGGAAAATATATATAAATACAGGAGAAAATATGAAAATATAGAAATCATAATACAGGGAGTAAACCCAACTACCTTCCCCCAGTGTCCATAGTTCATATTATTCATAGGAAGGTCCATAAAGGGAAATATCCATGAGGGGGAAAGAGAGTCCCTTGTTTGTGAGATGGGGGATCATCAGGAGCCCACGTGTGCCTCAGATGGAAAAATTCAAATACTTTTGTGGCATGATTTTCAGTAATAAATTGGTTACTTTCTGCTGTAAACATATGAAAATAGAGCATAAAGCCTTGATTAAATGATACACACCAAACTGACCAAGGCTTAACCCTTATTATCCAGCCTGGCGTCCTTGCCCTTAGCAAAACTATAAGTTACTATCTCTTATTGGGGGGGGGGGGTCATGTTCGACTTCAAAGGGAGGGAGTTCCAGATTATCTGGCAGCACAGACTCATATAACCCAGTTTAAAGCAGAAAACCTGGGATCATATCCTGGGATAGAGGGCCTGTCTGAGGCCCCTTTCACACAGCTGTATACAACCTATATTGAACTGGATGATATGGCAATGTGGACTCTGATAATCCAGTTCAAAGCAGATATTGCGGATTACCTGCCTAGATATTCTGGGTTATATGGCTGTATGGAAGGGCCCATAGTCTACAATGCCATGTAATCCACTTCAAAGCAGATAATGTGTTTTATACAGCTGTATGGAAGGGGCTATAGGGGTGGGGGATTACCCCTGGGAGGGAGGGCGGGGCAGAGGGGTTGGGGCCTGCTTTGGAGAGGCAGGGCTTCCCTGCTGGAGATTTGAATACACCCCTTCCCTTTTGCCTGGAAGCCCAGAGAGGCGAGGCTTCCCTGTTCGGTATTTGCATATTTGTTGTTCATTCGTTCAGGCGCTTCCGACTCTTTGTGACCTCCTGGACCAGCCCATGCCAGAGCTCCCTGCCGGCCGTCACCACCCCCAACTCCTTCAAAGTCAAGCCAGTCACTTCGAGGATACCATCCATCCATCTTGCCCTTGGTTGGCCCCTCTTCCTTTTTCCTTCCATTTTCCCCAGCATCATTGACTTCTCCAAGCTTTCCTGTCTCCTCATGATGTGGCCAAAATACTTCATCTTTACTTCTAATACCCTTCTCTCCAGTGAAGTATGGACTGGTTGGATCTTCTGGTGGTTCAAGGCACTCTCAGAACTTTCCTCCAACACTACAGTTCAAAAAGCATCTATCTTCCTTCGCTCAGCCTTCCCTATGGTCCAGCTCTCACATCTGTAGGTGACGACGGGGAATACCATTGCTTTAACTATGTGGATCTTCGTTGCCAGTGTAATGTCTCTACTCTTGACTATTTTATCGAGATTGGACATTGTTCTCCTCCCAAGAAGGAAACATCTTCTGATTTCCTGGCTGCAGTCTGCATCTGCAGTAATCTTTGCATCTAGAAATACAAAGTCTGTCACGGCCTCCACATTTTCTCTCTCTATTTGCCAGTCTGGTTGCTATAATCTTGGTTTTTTTAATGTTTAACTGCAACCCAGCTTTTGCACTTTCTTCTTTCAGCTTGATCAGAAGGCTCCTCAGCTCCTCCTTGCCTTTGGCCATCAAAGTGGTATCATCTGCATATCTAAGGTTGTTAATGTTTCTTCCAGCAATTTTAACCCTGGCCTTTCATTTGTCAAGCCCTGCACATCGCATGATGTGTTCTGCATACAAGTTAAAAAGGTTGGGTGAGAGGATGCAGCCTTGCCGTACGCCTTTCCCAATCTTGAACCAGTCTGTTGTTCCATGGTCAGTTCTTACTGTTGCTGCTTGGTCCTTGTACAGATTCCTCAGGAGAGAGACAAGGTGGCTTGGTATGCCCATCCCACCAAGAACTTGCCACAATTTATTATGATCCACACAGTCAAAGGCTTTAGAATAGTCAATAAAACAGAAATAGATGTTTTTTTCTGAAACTCCCTGCCTTTCTCCATCATCCTGCGGATATTGGCAATTTGGTCTCTCGTTCCTCTGCCGATTTGCATATACCCCTTCCCTTTTGCCTGGGAGACCGGAGGGCCGGGGCTTCCCTGCTGGAAATTTGCATTTGTCCCTCCCTTTTAACCAGGGAACCTGGAGAGGCGGGGCTTCCCTGTTTGATATTTGCATATACTCCTTTCTTTTTGCCTGGGAGCCCGGAGAGGCGGGGCTTCCCTGTTCGGTATTTGCATATACTCCTTTCTTTTTGCCTGGGAGCCTGGAGAGGCGGGGCTTCCCTGCTGAAGATTTGCATTTGTCCCTCCCTTTTAGCCAGGGAATCCGGAGAGGCAGGGCTTCTCTGCTGGGGATTTGCATAGGCCCCTTTCCTTTTGCCTGGGAGCCCGGAGGGGCGGGGCTTCCCTGTTCGGTTTTTGCATATACCCCTTCCCTTTCCCCTGGAAGCCCGGGTGGGCGGGGCTTCCTTGCTGTAGATTTGCATATGCCCCTCCCCGTTTGCTAGGGAGCTCGGAGAAGCGCGTTCCTCCAAAGAGCGAAAGGAGGAGGAGGAGACTTGGGAGACGCGACGGCGGAGTGTCTCGGGCATCCTTTAGCGATTGGGGGCTCGGGCAGCCTCCCCCTCCCTCCCTGCCTCCCTCGCTGCCTCCCTCCCTCCTTGGTGCCCAGGCAAACTTCGGCGCTCCTGCCCCCGCCCCTCCTGCCTGCCTTCCTTCTTCGGGACCTAATAAAAGGCAGCTGGCGGCGGGCAAAGCAGGCGGGAGTCCCGCTGGAGGCGGCCTTGGGGCGCGCCTTTGGAAGGGACTCCGAGGGCTCTTCCGCCGACGGCGACGAGGACAAGAAGCATCTCTCGGCCGGACAAGATGCTGGGGCTCGGCCGCCTCCTCTTGGCCGCCTTGGCCACGCTCTTCGCCAAAGGTAAGCAGCGCCTCCGCCTCGCAACTTACTTCCCTTCCTTCTTCCCTTCTTGCCGTGCCCGTTCCTTAGCGGGAAGCATCCTCTGCCTTGGCTTTTTGGAGCCCTTCCACCAGGGCTTGGTTCCCTCTCCCCCGCCTTGCAACCCACTCTTTGGAGAAGGGCTTCCTTGAAGCCGAAGAGCTCCGTTAGGAGGCGCGAATCCTCAGCCTTGGAAAGGGACTCCCCCCACACGAGGCCATCTAGCCCGACCCGCTTTCGGGGAAAGCATCCTCGAAGCCCTCCCGACAGATGGCCAGCTGGAAAAAAAAACCTCCCGACAAGGCGCCTCCGGGATGCACCTCTCGCTTGCATGGCTTCCGATGCAGACCCCAGCCTGTTTCCCCCCTTCTCCGGCCAAATCGCATTTCGTTTCCTTGAAGTTCATCTCTCTCTAGGAATGAATGAGACTTTCTTTCTGTCCCGCCCTATCTCTCTCCCCAATGGGGACTCCACATAGAGAGCGGGGCAAACATTCAGTGGCGGATCAAAACATATACAAAATACAAAAAAACATCAACCAAAGGAAGAAAAAGCCATTGACATTTACACAAGACAATAAATGGAACACAGACTGTCTCTCTGTATGTATATGTAGGTAGGTAGGTTGACTTTTGCCACATTATTGTCGTTGCTATTATTATTAGCATCTTTAGTTATACCCCACTTCAAATATTATATATATGTATCATAATAATAGTATAATAATATTATATTATATTTCAATAATAGTCATATAATAATATAATAATAGTAGTATAATTTATTTAAAACATTTATATTCCGCCTTTCTCACCCCACAGGGGACTCCGGGCAGAGTATAACATATATATGGCAAACATTCAATGCTGGGACGTAAAACCAGAAATATCCTCAAACATTAAAATTCGTTGCTTAATAATGTTATAATATAATATAATAATAGTAGTATAATAATGTAAATACTATTAATATAATATAATATAGGAACCCCTGGTGGCACAACCCTTGTGCCAGCAGGACTGAAGACCGACAAGTCAGAGGTTCGAATCCGAGGAGGGTGTGGATGAGCTCCCTCTGTCAGCTCCAGCTCCCCATTCAGGGACATGAGAGAAGTCTCCCACAAGGATGGTAAAACATCAAAAAAACATCCCAGTGTCCCCTGGGCAACATCCTTGCAGGTGGCCAATTCTCTCACACCAGAAGCGACTTGCAGTTTCTCAAGTCACTCCTGACATGAAAATAAATAATATAGTATAATAATAATAAAACTTTATTTGTATTCCGCCCTATCTCCCAGAAGGGACTCAACATGTGAACATCAAAACAGGATTAAATATAAAGAGGTTTATAAAAAATCCCAGTTAAAAACCCATTCAAACAAAATTCAAAGTTCAAAACCCCTGAATTGACATCTGGAATTTCAAGCAGCCCCGTTGGAAGGAACTCTGAAGACAGACGACCTCTCCTCTCTTGAAATGCTAAGGACACTGAAGAAGATCATCTGTGTCAAATCAGAGATGGTACGGGGAACATTTTGAAATGCTGGCATCTGTATTGCTAGGCGTAAAGGGATTCTATCTCTTGGGAATGGGGAACTCTAGAGGAGTGAAAAACGACCTTGGCAGCATAGAGAATGTTGCTTCGAAACCATCTTTATGAATGAATGCCTGAAAGGCACGTGTAAGATACTTTGAAAGGGCAGCGGCTGGAGAAATGCAAACTCTGCCACTCAGGAATGCCTTCAGTTCTTTACAAAGTGCTTTCATACAAAGTGCTTGGCACGCTGTTAGTCCTCAGTGAGAAATATAGTTAGGGTACGTTTTTGCTTTCGGGTGTTAGGTAATCTGTGGAGAACATAAGTCCCTGTGAGGAGTGGCTTAAATGGCTGTGTCTGTTTAGCCTGCAAAAAAGAGAAGAGCAAGAAAAGGATACATGAGAGCCATGTTTATAATAATAAGTATTATTATTATTATTATTACTATTATTTGATACATTACAAGATTAGTACACAGCAAACAAGATCACTATACTGGTTTTTGTGTTTGATTATTATTATTATCGTTATTATGTTTCAATATTTGGACAGCTATCATAAGGAAGAGGGAGTAAGGCTTCCTTTCTACTGCCCTGGAAACTAGCACTCAATGGAGTCATAGGTTCAAATGACAGGAAAGGAGATTCCACCTGAACATTAGGAAGAGCTTCCAGACCATAAGAAGAGCTGTTCAACAGTGGAACTCTCTGCCTTGGAGTCAGGTGGAGGCGCCTTCTTTGGAGACGTTTCAATGGAGGCTGGATGCTCATCTGTCGGGAATGTTTTGATAGTGCTTTTCTCACATGGCAGAATGGGGTCGGACTGCATAGCCCATGTGGTCTCTTCCAACTCTAGGATTTTATCATTCTAAGTTTCAATGCTTCTGTTTTGTAGTCGTATCATTGAAGCATGCCCTGCTTCTTCAAAACTTTGATCAGCGTCATTACTTAAGACTAGAAGAAAAAGATACTTTCCCCCCAGTGTTTCAGTAATATGGTGCATTTGTTTGAAAAGCAGCACTAAGCGATTGTCGAATGGAGAGAGCGTTGTGTGCATTTCCCCGCTTGACTTTTCGTCTTGTGATGTGTCAAATGGAAGAATCCTGTTCCTCTCCCTTCCCCTCTTAAGCAAGACGAGCAAGCTTTTCTTTTTTCCCTCTGTGGTGTGTCGGGTAAAACTATCTGCCACAGTGAGCGATTTGAGTTGCACAGGATGGAGTCGGAGACTGGGGTGGGGGGATTGCTCTTTTTGCAATGCTAGGTGAAGCAAGGCATTGGGTTGTTTTCGAAATGCGGTGTGTGTGTATGCAGGCAGTCCTGAAGTTACAAACATCCATCTTACAAACAACTCATAGTCCAGAACGGGGCTGAGACAACAGGAAGGCAGAGGAATCTCTCCCTTGGAAGAAAGGGAAATCCTGGAAGAGTTATTGTCATGGGGGAAAGGGATCTCCACTGAAGTTTTAGCACCAATCCTTGTTTCTACAACAAGCCACATTTTTCAAAATCCAATTCTCACAGAGACAGAAAGTGAGGTGAAATCTTCTCAACAGGGACACAGATAGGAAAAGAAATGTTACAGGGGTGTTAACCCTTCCCTATGCTATCCAAAGCTTAAAAAGTTATCATTTTGGATGGAGTTACACTTTAAAAATGGAATGTGTCCAGAGGAGGGTGACTAAAATGATCAAGGGTCTGGAGAACAAGTCCTATGAGGAGTGGCTTAAAGAGCCGGGCATGTTTAGCCTGCAGAAGAGAAGACTGAGAGGAGACATGATGGCCATGTATAAATATGTGAGGGGAAGTCATAGGGAGGAGGGAGTAAACTTGTTTTCTGCTGCTCTGGATACTAGGACACAAAGCAATGGCTTCAACCTACAGGAAAGGAAATTCCACCTGAACATTAGGAAGAACTTCCTAACTCTGAGAGCTGTTCAGCGGTGGAACTCTCTACCCCAAAGTGTGGTGGAGGCTCCTTCTTTGGAGGCTTTTAAACAGAGGCTGGATGGCCATCTGTTGGGGGTGCTTTGAATGCAATTGTCCTGCTTCTTCGCAGGGGGTTGGACTGGATAGCCCACGAGGTCTCATCCAACTATATGATTCTATGAAATGTCCCTGTTCCAGCTTAAATACAAACCTGCAGAACCGATCTTATACTTAACTTGGGGACTGCCTGTATATATGCTGGTACACATAGACACACACATGCGAGTCCTCAGGTCGTTTTTTGACTTGTGGCAACCTTGTTAACTTCATTGGGTCTTCTTCGGCAAATTGGTGAGTTTGCCAGTTGCTTCCTCTCAAACTCACTCTTCCCATGGAAAAGGGTCCCTGCACATGCTAAAGAAGTGGATTAAGGAGAGGACAATATGTTTCGCCTTTACGTCAAATATGCTTGTTTATGGCAGCGGCACAAATGATTGTTGCCTTTTATTATGAGGGTGCATTCAAACAATTCTCTATAGAGTTGAAGATTTTGCCACGTGATGCCTGCAACTGGCAGGATTTGGGTTGAGAGAGATCCATTGGACTGTGTTCTAGCACTGGGCTGAAACCCATAGTGGGTGAGACTACAGTCCAAAGTATAGGCGCTTTTCTGTCCCCCTTTCTCCCCTGCTCTTTCTGTCACTTTTCCTTGCCGAAAGCATTTGAAATCAAGCTGCGGTCTGCACTGATTACAAAAGCCTTCATTGGTCTTATTCGTGGGAACCGTTTGTTGTTTCTCTCAAATCCTTTCCTATACAAATAGAACTGATTAGGGATAAAGATTCACCTCGGACACTTGAGTAAGGCATTTTTGCATCGCACATGCTGGCCATGAATAGATTTGAGATTGCCACTAGTGGACAGTTTGTTCACTTGTTTGGATGGTGTAAAAGTGTGTTTATGTGTGATTTTGTACATGCTGGGATGGGCCGGACAGTGGCTTCTGTTAGTCACAATGGGAGTACTGTGGTTTTAGCTCTGTGGATAGGTTTTTAATGGGTTTTCAGGGCTTCAATTGTTTATTTTTAAAATACTGTTTATGTTTAATTCTATTTTAATGTTTGTATATTTATTTATTTACTTACCACATTCAGAGGCGGCCCTAGGTAATTTTCAACGGTAAGCAAACAGTATTTTGCCCCCCCCCCCCCCAACCAATCATTGATATATATTTTCTGTTTGTCGTGGGAGTTCTGTGAGCCATATTTGGTTCAATTCCATCATTGGTGGAGTTCAGAATGCTCTTTGATTGTAGGTGAACTATACATCCCAGTAACTACAACTCGCATATGTCAAGGTCTATTTTCCCCCAAGAGCACCTCAAGAGTCCCCCTGGGCAAAATCAACTATACTGCAACTATACTTTGCGTAATGGGTTGTCGAGGCTTCCCCCGGATTGCTAGGGCTGTTGTGAGCCGAGGGGGCGCTCCTCAAGGGGCATTTACAGAGGCGCCTCTCCACCC